CAGGATAGTGTGGCACAGGCCAGCGAACAGAGGCAGAGGGAAGGCAGGAACAGGAAGAAATAAACAATGCTGTTTTTAATCTGCTCTGTGTGACCGCCTGCTCCTTCATCCTTCATCAAGCAACGGCACATTCGTGAAGGACAAAATGTGCAATACAGGGAAAGGAAAGCAACAGAAATTTGAAGGATGTGACCCACAGTGTTAGGGAGTACTTTCGTGACCTGTAATCTAATCTCCAACAAACAGCGGTGTAAATGCACCTTTACAACAAAGCAAGCTCTCCATTAAAGGGATACAGTAGTTCACCCAAAACTGAAACTTTTGTCATAATTTATCCATCCACGTCATTCCAAACTGACTTACTGACGTACAACAAAAGATAGAAAGATATTTTGATTTTTGATTTTTTTTCACACAATGAAAGTTGATTGATTTTCATTGTATGGGCAAAAAGGTTGAACCATTCTTCAGAATATCTTCTTTTATCATACAATTTGAAACAACATGAAGGTGAGTAAATAATGACAACATTTTCCTCTTTTTTCATACACAACTCTTCAAAAGTTTAGGGTCAGTAAGATAAAAAAAAAAAAAAAAAAATTAATACTTTTATGCAACAATGACGCATTAAATTGATCAAAAGGGAGAGTAAAGACATTTATAATGTAGCAAAAGATTCCCATTTCATGTAAATGCTGTTACCCTGAATTGAATTCCTATTATTACTAATGAAGTATTTATTTTCATTATGATATTTTACATTTTATCTTTTTTATTCTTTTTTTAATATATTTCCTTTACTATGTTTGAGACGTTGTCTGTATGTTTATCTGTCTTGTATGTTTGGTGAGTCAAAGAAACGTTTCCACCCCGGTGGACAATAAAGATTTATTCTAATTCTATTCTAATTCTAATTCTTTTTGTGGAGTCAGAGAAATATGCTCTGATTAATATATACTCCCTATCTGCTCACTTAAAAATACACTGCAGCTTCAAAGAAGTTAACAACTATTTTTTCACAAGGAAATCCTTTGATGAGTAAATCATGAGTAGCTTGTCCCTCCTCAACACTGGACCCAGTTGTGCAAACCAGAAGATCTTTCATTGCAATCTCTGCAAATGGGAGCTTGTTAGATGCCTAAATCATATAATTCCATTAGTCTTTTCAAAGTATACTGAATAGCCATAGTGTTTAATACTGCTGAATGGCTCTGTTAAATCCTACAAAAGACCCTATATTAGTGAAATCACCACAGAGCTGAATCAGATGTGCTGAAAGGGGAAGTGCGGGACAGGGCCCATACCACAGCTCTGAGCAACTCTAACGTCTCGCAAAACCAAGACCATTCACTCGATATACAGGAAACTCAAACCTCCTGCTCATGGAGGAAACAACAGCCGTTTCACCGCATCACTTTCCTGTGGGTGTACAGCTTAAGGACGAGTGAAAAATAAAATGGAGTGCTTCCTTCATTTATTTTTAGTTGTGAATAGGTCCATCTTCCTCTCTTGCAAACCCGATAAACAATTCTCATGAGCGAGGACAAACCGCCTCAGGAATGGGTACAAGCATCAAAGAGCATATTTGTGAACATGAGCACTGTATATATATATATATATATATATATATATCATGGAAGTATATCAATGTTTACATTTTTCATATCACCCATGAGATGCTGGTGTTGTGCAAGTGCAGATCTAATTTCAATGGAAAAAGCTCTTTGTGTTAAAGTACCAGCAAAACAAGAACAAATGGTACCTTATCAAGCTTTACATGCTTTATAGTAATAGCAGTGATCAGAAGATTGAACATACTGTTAAGTTAAATTTGAGAGAAAGAAAAAAAGACAAAAAAATGGTTAAAAGTATAAATTCATCATTGTAAAAGAGATTTCAGATCAAAATGAGTGCAGCCTATTGGTTGTGAGCACATGGTGCAACCTGGGAGAGGCAAGGTAGCTGATTGGTCATTGAAACTCCACATGCCACACATAACCAGGTGTGTGTGATTACTAGGAGGAAGAGAGATCTTTGTTTGCGACTTGGCTTGCGCGTTACACCAGGACGGCATGGGATCGAATGACGAAGCTTTAGCGGGAAAAATGGAGTCAGACGAGAGCGAGGGAAATGAAGAAGATACAAGAGGAGTTGAGAACAGGAAAAGTAAAAAAGAACAGTGTTTCAAGTGATGAAAGCCAGACAAGAAGAACTGTTGAGAGATATCAAGTAGGAATGATAGCAGTAACAAAAAGTGACGGGATCTTCAAGGATTCGCACGAGGTTGGAAGATTCGTTGGAAAGAAGCTCGGAGATGTTCGGTCCATTAAAATAACAAGGAGTGGGATGGTTATTATTGACTGCGTGTCAAGGCATCAGAGAGAACAAGCTCTAAAGATTAAGGAGTATACAGATTACAGAGTTGTGAAATGTTTCCCACTCGGGACAGAATACAAAAAGAAAGGAGTAGTAAGTAGCGTACCGCTGTCAATGGAAGATGAGGAGTTTCGGGCCGTTGAAGGAGTTTGTGAGGCCAGAAGATTGACAAGATTCCGTCAAGGAGAAAGGGAAGAAAGTACTTCTGTGTGTCTGACGTTTGTGGGAGATTTGCCAGAGAGGATATATGTAGACTATATATGCTACAGGGTGAGGTCTTATGAAAGAGCTCCGTTAAGGTGCTTTTGCTGTCAGGAATATGGACATGTGGCTGCAGTGTGTAGAGGAGTCAGGAGATGTGGGAAAAATACTTGTGAAAGAGGGGAGTGTGAAGAGGAACAGGTAAAATGCATTCATTGTTCGGGAAATCATCCTGCGGGGTCAACGCAATGTCCTGAAAAAATCAAACAGGTAAAAGTGAGTAAAATCAGAGCAGAAGAAGGGCTAACATATGCAGAAGCTACTAAGAGAATGGAACGAGTAGTAGTGCAAACAGAACAGGAGCCGGGAAAGAAGGGAGATGATCAGAATAACGTTATTGGAATGGACAAGAAGCGATTTCTGGGATTTATTGCTATGGTGGTCAATTGTGCTGTGGAAATTAAAGGGAAATCAGAGAGGATCAAGATGGTGTTGGATGCGGCGAGAAGATTCTTGGACATTGGGGACATATCAGGAGAAGAACTAGATAATACGCTGAGGAAAGAATTTATATCATCTCAGACCATTGAGAATTACATATAGAATGGGCAGTGAACTTTAGGGTGGTCACTGTAAATATTCTGCACTGGGAAAACTATTTAATTCAGTAGGTGGCGGTAATGCAACACTTTGGATGCCAACCGCCATAAAACCCCAAAAGAAGAAGAAGAAGAAGAAGATGATGATCTTTGTTTGCAGTAAATGTGCTTCTCCTACCGAAGTTGGTGGTTTTTGGTGATTAAAAAACCAAAGGAGAAAGACTGTTGGGAAAAGCCACAATGTTTTAATCAACTTTGAGATGCTACTGGTAGGACAAAGACTTATTTTTCTTTAATGACTACATATTTTGTGTATGTTTGAAAGGTGTTTAATGCTAGTAGTTTAGCATTTAACTTTCTAACTGCATTACAAGCTTTTTATTTACATTGCTGTTAAGTTGCTGTGTAAACTGTGATTGTTTGTACTTTTGTAGTACTTTGTAGTGACTCATATCACATATCTGTTTCTGTGTAGGTTATTAAGCTAACCATCTGGAATTATCATTGAGACAAGTACAAAAAGAAGATCTAGTCATTGATGAGAGATTTTCAATAAATTGCTTCTATGACAAAGAACCAGATGGTTTGAGTTATTCCATGCACCTTCTGGGTTGATTGAAGCCTTTTTTCAAGTTTGGGCAGACATTGAGGCAAAGAAAGACCCTGATAACTTGACACATACAATATATATGACATTTTTATCAGATAATATAACAGTGACGTCAAACATAGTATTTAAATGGGTCATGACATGGATTTTTTATTTTTACTATTTTAATGTTCCTTCAGGTTCACCTATAAAGTTTTTTGCACAAATAAACTAATATATATATATATATAGTGTGTATGGAAATACGATTATTTTCAACTTTCATTCTGACTCTCTGTATGAAAAGATATGTTTTTAAGGGGCCATTTTATTCTAATGTATTGTCTGATTTGTAGCGCAAACAGTTTTACAGTTTACTTCACTTTGATATATTCTTCTCTTTATTTCCCTATAGCGACTAATAAATCGGAAGTCTCGCACATTTACAGAAAACACTTTACTTCTGAGTTGAAAAATGGATAAGGACGAGGAATTTTTAAGCTATGAAACTTGCAGGATGTTTTAATGGAACAATGGTGTCTTATATGTCAAAAGATCAAGGCAAATTTGATTTCTTATGTCATGACCCCTTTAAAGGGGTTCATAAACGGCTTTTTTTTTATTTTGTAATGTTTCCTGAGGTATTTTTGCATTAAAAACTGTTATCATTTAGAAATAAAAGCAATTTTACACCCTTTGATTTGAACACTCTGTTTAAATAGCCGGGTCTTTAAAATTAAAGCCCATTGCTGTGATTGGGTATTTTTGCATATGAAATAAGTATTACATGAGGAACTCTTTTGAAAACTTTTAGTACGTTTTAACTATTACAGCTGCCAAGATGAACCAATCAGGAAAATGTTGATTACAGCATTATATTTAAATCTACTCCCATTGCATTAAAAGACGCTAAGTTGCAATTGCTGATATGCATGTCAAACATTGCAGGTAAAAAAATAACTAATACTAATACTACAACCCTACTAATGGTAACAAACTACTCAAAAAGAAGCAGGCAAAATTGAGGCTAAATGAGCCTATTAGTGCACCTATTTCAAGCAGATTGCATTGTTGTTTTTTGTACTGCTTCTAATCGCACACTGACAATATAAACATCCGTTTCACTGCAACAACAGAATGCAAAATATTAACATGCATGTCTGCGTTTAAGTTGCTATGCAAGTCATGGAACTTGGGTAAGGAAATGTACAAGGACATGATATACAAATACTGACCTTTGACCTGTGCACCTCTCCATCATCATCCTCTCCACCGACGCCCAGGATCTTGCGAGTCTTGAGTCGGCTCACCAGATCGGTCTGACTGTGTTTCTTCATCAGAGGCGGATGAGGTTTAGAAGCCATTCCAGAAGTCTACAGAGGACAAGAGGAGTGAGAGCACAAGATGAGATCTGATTTGTCACTTCATGCTCAATCATGTACTCGTTTGCATCGGGAATGGAGTTCTCATTCTTCTTCTAACAAGACAAGATCTTTACTATGCGCAATCCTCTTGTGCACCAGGCTGTCCTGACATACCAGTGAACCCTATACGAGGCAATGGATTACTCAAGAGAATAAATTATATTTTGCTCTCAAAAAGGCAGTAAAACAACATCACATGAGGTGTAACAAGTCTTGACAAGATCCTCGGTTCCTGTGGCACATTTGCAGTCAAATTGGGCACAGCATCAAACCAGCATATTAGAATGATTTCTGAAGGATCATGGACTGATTTCTGAAGGATTATGGACTGGAGTAATGGCTGCTGAAAATTTAGCTTTGCTAATCACAGTAAAAAATTACTTTTAAAAATATTTTTTAATAGTAATATTGTTAAATTACTTTTTGATGACTTAATGACTAAATAAATTTGATTGATTAATTAATCGACACATCATGTAATTCATTTTGCGGCTATGATAGTGACAGTGAACCTCTATGAGGCAAAGGATTACTCAAGGGAATTAATTATATTTTGCTCTCAAAAAGGCAGTAAAAAGACATCACGTGAGAGTAACCCAGTTCTGACAAGCTCCTTAGTTCCTGCTGGACGTTTGCGGTCAATTTGGGGACAGTACTTCTATAAGTGAACATGTAAATGAATGTCCTGACATAAGGCACACTGCAACTTTATATCTCGCAATTGTGGCATTATTTCTCACATCTGCAATGTAATTTCCTGGACATTACTTTTCACATTTGTGATATGCAAGGTCTTCAAATAGCTTTGTTCCCCAGTGATGTAGCTTTTGTAGAAAAAGGACATTTGAATGTCAGATGTAGACATGGACTATAGCATGCACTGCTTGGTCTGCAGGAACATTATATCTCAGGTGACTTGTGAGAATAAAAGGACTTGTCTTTCAGTGTGTGTACTCCAGTCACCTGCTCTCGTGTACTGGACAGCAGGGGTACAGACGGCAAGTGCTCCCTCGGCAGAGGGAGAGAGGAGTTTCGGCGTCACAATTGATTAGGAAAAGGTCTGAGGCTCCAGCACTACTGAGCCTGAAGGTGTTCAGGAAGCTAAGAGCAAAAAGAGGGGTGGATTTTAAAAGTACAGTCATCCCCAGTGTGCTCTTCAGACAGCAAGATGTAGAAGCACATAAAAAAAGCAAAGCAGTATTCATTTCAGTACTAATGAAGATGTCATTAGACCAGTAGAAAAAAAAATGGAATTAAATTATAGATGAATGCATTGACGAATGAATAAATCAGTCCCTGCAACACATTGCAATCATTGGTCACTTAGTCCAAGACTGATGAAACCTACCAAAACCAACAGATGAAACTTAATCAATCATAGATATACAGGCTACTAATTTAAAGATAGAACATGGAATTTAAATGCTGTGAATAATAAAGTTATGAATAATATAATAATTAATAATAAAGGTATCCATTTGAACGGCACTGTTTAAAACTGTACACACACAGAATTTACAATATACAGTTAATAACTTATCAAAGTTTTTATAACTTATTTTAATAACTTATAAAAGGTCAGTAAAGTTTTTTTTTTTTAAAGAAAGCAATACTTTTTTTCAGCAAGGATGCATTACATTGATCAAAAAATTAAAGTAAATAATTTTTCCCAATAATTTTCTATTCAAGATACAGTTAATTTGAATTTTAAAAAATGGTTCCACAAAAATATTAAGCGGCAACTTTTAGAAGTTAAAATAGAATGAATAGAACTGTTAAAATAGAACTGTTAAAATAGAATGATTAGAATGATTTCTGAAGGATCATGTTACACTGAAGAGTGTTGCATGTGCAATAGTTCTTAATGGTTCATGGAACAAACACGAATATTGCAAAAATATTGGCATCTGCATTTAAAAAACACACATCAGCTGATCATCACAGGAAAATAATAAATGGATTAATTGCTTTACGGAGCGATTCAGCCTGTGTGTGAATTTACCATCACAGATAAGAGGCAGGCAATGGGCCATGCTGCCTTCAATCAATGTACAGCAAATCACATAAACGAGACAGGCGATGCAATTGCGTCGTTCCAATGCGTTTCTTGACATGAGGCTGCTGAAGTGATGCTGATTCAGTTGCCTAGCAACCCCTCAGATTACGCATTTGGCACCCTCCCTCATTATCGAAAGTATATATTCTGTGACAAGGCTCTGTTCATCTTGACAACTCACCCCATTGTTATTCTTCAGGCGGTCAAACCAAGCCTTTGACGCAAGCTAAAGATCTCGCGGCCATGTGCGAGTTTTATCGTCTGGCTTTGTCGGGTTAAAGGCTCCATGTGATGCTGATTTATTAAAGTGTGGCTACTGTATATAGAATTCTGAAGCTAATGACAGATGGAAAGATGAAGCAAAGGCTTCATTGTTCATTTCAAAAATCATCCAGACACTTCAGCATTAGGTGGTGAGTATATAAAGGAGGAACTAAATATTATTAATGGACTTGCTAAACAGCAAAACACTGCAACTGCAGGAAAAACTGGGCAAGTGTGTGCTTGTGTGAGTGAATGAAAGAAATTTAGCTGCAGGACAAAAGCCTGCCAAAGTATTTCTTCTCAGCATCAGTATGTTGGGGATATTAAATATGTATTGAATATGACAATGTGGACAATCATCAGAATGGAATTTTATAACTGCAATCACGCCATGGACAACTTCATCAATAATCTAGGATAACTCAAGGTATAAATAAATGATTTTACTTAATATTAGAACTGCCAGTTAAGCCGAATGAATGAAACAAGAAAGCAATCATCATTAGCATTAATTAGCCCCTTGGTGCTGCATAAAATTGCTTGTGTGAGTTAAAAAATAATACACAGCCCTTGCATCTTATAAATATATAATACAATAAAATGAGTGCTAGGCTATTGCTCATACAGTCATATGCATCTCAGGACATACAAATGATCGCAATTATCAATTATGTGTAGTAATTGTTTAAGCAAGAAAAAGGACTAAATTGGTGCCAGAGCCAAAAAAAAAGGGTTAAAATAAATAAATAATAAACATAAATAATTTAATAAACAAACAAAATAAAAATGAATAAATGAATAAAACATGAATAAATGATAACACAAACACAAATGAAAAAAATAATTAATTAATAATACTTACAGCTGGTATTAACGTGTATCTCAAATATGTCTTCTGAGTCCACTTGTAACTGGATTTCACCTTAGGTTATTTTACCACTTGCAAAATGGGCTTTCAATAAAACCTGGCTTCCTGTACAGTAGAAAGGCAGACAAAATTAAATCAGTGGTGCTAACTACAGAAAACAGAGAGAAAAAAGCTGTTGTCTTCCTTTTGCCAAATAGGTGTGAAAACTTCAATACCCATAATGCACTGGGCATGTTGACAAGACTAAGACTAAAACTATTGGTCAAAAAACATTTTCACAAGCTAAAATAAAATAGAGATTTCAACAAAAGAAAAACTAAAACTAAACTAACAACACTTACTAAAATAAAATAATAATTAGCTAAAATAGATAATTGTTTTCGTAATTAATATGCTCTCATCCTGTACCGGAAAATCCTGTTTTTCCATTCCACTGCGCTACTTTATTTTTTTATGTACACACGCGTTAGACGGACATGTTGCACTTTTTCAGCGTCTCGCACATGACACTACGTTCTAAAAACGCGGCACTCAAGTTAAAATAAGTTCAACTTTTAAAAGACGCATCTCGAGACCTTGCACTTTTTCCTCATTCCACTGTTTCTCAAAGCAAAAACGCTTTCTGTGTGAACCAGCCATATAGCAGAAATGGCCAAATAAGCATTTCCATCATGTGTAGACCTTATAAACACAGCTGCACCTTAATTCCACATAAGATAACCATCTATAAAAACTTAATAATAAACAAGATACCACACATATTAGACAGTATACCACACTGAGCAGAAAACGGAAGAAAACAAATAGCATGTCTAGCCCACAAATAGACGTACATTTAGAAGTCAACTAAATGTCATGAAAATGAATATAACTGTGAGTATATGATATTAAAAGACACAATAGATAAAAAACATTCTTTCTTTCTTATACACCACATGCTTAACAAGATTTCATCTATAATATGAATGAGTTTGAATGAATAAATTTTACTTTTATACTTTTAAGCTGCATTTGTTTGGTTCTTTGTTCAATCTCAAACAATTATTTTATTTTTATTACTAAGAAGTTTGCACAAGAGTTAACTGTAAACTGCAAACATTAAACTTTGCTGAAATTAAATGTCTAACTGGAAGTGTTCTGTTAACTCTGCTAAACTACAATAACTAAAACTAAAACTGAAACTAAATATATAAAAAACTAAATAGAAATATTTTTAGTGTTTAGAAACTAACAATAATTTTTACCATAATGCTGTTTAAAGAGTAGACATAGTACAATACAATTTTCAGTAATAAAACTATAACCTTACTGTTCTGTTAATAACCCTCTGTCGATCCGACTGTCAGTGTGCGGGAATACACAAATTCAGAAGATTAAAATGTAGTTTTCACGAAAGCTCTGGAGCTGTCACAAGTCATCCGGCAGACTCTGACAAATTAACGTGAATTTCTCGGTAACAAGGAGAACGAGTAAACATTGTTCATTTAAATATACCACCAACATTGTTACAATACAAAGTGGGTTGAAAATCGGCGACACTTTAATACATCACTGCTAGGGATGCAAAACAATATTATTGAAAATAAATACATAAATAAATAAAATAATAAAAACCTGTATATAAAATATAAAACCTAGCCAAAAAATAAATGCATAATTAATTTATTACATCTGAGATTAGCAAGGGCAACCGTTGTCAGAAAAGCCATTAATCATTTCCAAGAAGCAAAGAGACTACATCGGTCTCAAAGCGTGCTCTTC